CGGCCAGGCTCTTGGGCCCCCGCTGTCTTCGCCTGCCTGGCACACCCCCACTTGGTCGAGCACGGCACCGCGCTGAAGCTCTGCGCCTTGGTCTCGGGCGATGCCGTCCTCCTTGGGAGCTGGCGCGCGCCTGTCGGGATCGTCGCTCTCGCGGCTTACGCGTGCGACGTGCGCGTCCAGTTGCGATGGTGCAGGCTTGCTAGCGCTGGCGTGGTCTTTGCAGGAATCCCCGGTTGGGGCACAGGCGCTGGGGCAGCTTGGGCGGCCGCCACGGTAGGGGCGGCGTGGTGGCGACCAGCCTTTCCAGACGCGGGGCCGCCGCCTCCGGCGCCGCGCCCGGGGCCGCGGCCAGCAGCCAGGGAACTCCAGGTCACCAGCTGGGGCGTCGACGTGCTCGCCAACCGCCGGAGCTGCTACTGCCGCGTGGAGTCGCGGAAGGGGCCGATGCGGCGGGGAGACCTCCCGGCCTTCAGCACCACCCTCGCGCACAAACTGTACTACCACCCTGAGTGCGTGGAGGGAGGCCTAGGGCCCTACGACAACGTCGCGGGCGCCGATCAGCTCACAGACGCCCAAAAGGACGCTGTCCGTGACCTTTGCGACAGGCCTGGGAGACCCACTCGCGAGCAGTTCGTCGAAGACGTCCGCAGCGCAAAAAGAGCGCGGCAGCACGGCGCGGACGGAGGCGGGGCGCTTTTGCAGGGGGCAGACGTCGGCGACCCGGGAGAGCTGCCCGAAACACTATGAGGAGACGCGGGGAATGGGCCCCAGGCAGATTTGTCTAATCTGTCCTCGTGGGACTGTGTCGTACGACAGCCTCGCCCAGGATGTGCCCACGATGGTAAAGGTGCCGGGCGAGACGGCGCGGGCCTTGGTGGCGCTGCGTGGCCGAATAGCACAGACCCTGCTCAACGCTTACGGCGCCGGCGACGCCGCCGCGCAGCACCGCGCCGAGAAGCTCTTCACTTTGTTCGACCGCCTCATGCTCCACAGGAACCAGAAGCAGCGCGGCGGCAAGGCGACGAAAGGGCGGGGTCTCAGCCAGGCGTCGATCAGCAGACTGAGGCTGGCTGAGCGGGGGGACTGGGCCGCTCTCTGGCGGGCGGCCCGCGCCCCGGGCACGCGCCCGCCTGGGCGCGGTCGCCGGCGGCCCACGCCAGAGCGAGCCGCCCAGCAGGCAGAGACGCTGGTGAAGGAGGGTCTGGTCAGCAAGGCGATGACGGCCGTCGCCCGCCCGACGACGCCAGCCCAGGGCAGCGGCGTCTGCGCCGCTCTGGAGAACCTTTTCCCAACGGGGGCCCCTGCTGTGAGGCGCACCTGGCCCCCATTGAACACTGGCGTGCCCTGCTGTGTGACGCGCCTGCCCTCGAAGCTTGCGCCAGAGTCGTGGTCCTGTTCCTCTGCGGGCAGCTCAGCCCAGGAGCCGTGGCTCGTGGCTCTACGCAAACCGAATGGAGGCATCCGCCCAATCGCTTATGACGGCGTACTGCGGCGCTTGGCGGGGCGGGCGGCCTGTGCGGCGTTCGGGGGCAGCATCAAAGCGGGGTGTGGCCGGTTCCAATATGCTGTTGGCCGGCCAGCAGGCTGCGAATAAGTCCACTAGACGATCGCCGCCCTCGCGGAGGCAAGCCCGCGAGGAGTGGCCCTGGCCTTCGACGCGAAGAACGCCTGCAACAGTGTGCCCCGGCAGCAAGTTCTGGACAGCGTGGCGGCGAGAGCACCGGACCTCCCTCGGCCCGACGGCGGCCGCTTGGCTGGCAGGACCGCGACGCACCTGTTATGGAACGACACCGAAGACGCCGCTCGGGTCCGGGCGACGAGTGGAGTCGACCAAGGCTGCCCCTTGTCCCCTGCCTTGTTCGCCATCGCCATCGCTGGCGCCCTGGGCGAGATCCACGCCGCGCTGCAGACGCTCTGGCCCGCTTGCAAGGTCTTCAGCTACTTGGACGACGTGATGGTTTTCACTCCCCTAGAGCACGCTGCGGCCGCTGACCAGATCGTCGCGGAGACGCTCCTCCGGCACGGACTACAGGTTCAACAGGACAAAACGCAAGCTTGGACAAAGGGCGCCAACGCGGCCCTTCCCCCCGCGCTCAGCGAGCGCCGGGTGCCGCACCTGAAGTGTCTGGGCAACGCGGCGCCGTGGCTGGACCAGGAGGAGGAGCGGATCCGAGTCCACGCCGGCGCGGACGGCGCCGCCGCAGTGGCGAAAGCGGTCAGGTTCGGCTACCGACTCTGCGAGTAACGTGCAGCTGGCCTCTCAGCTGGGTCCACTTTCGCGCTGCTCCGCACCTGCGCCCGAGGCGCCGTGACGCACCCCCTGCGAGCCAGCCGCGACATGTCCTGGGTGGACCAGTTCGATCAAGTCGTATTCGGCTGTCTGGAAGAACTCATCGGGACCGCTCTCGATCCGCAGCAGCGCGCGCAGGCCGCGATGCGCCTCAAAGACGGCGGTATCTCCTGCCTTCCGCGCGGATCACCTCCTCCGCAGCGTATGCGGCAAACTGGGCTCTCACCATGAAGGAAGTGGCTCGCGCCGCCGGTTTCCAGAGCTGGGAAGACTTCCGGGCACAATGCCCCCTGGCGCACCAAGCGCTCATGGAAGCCGACGCTGACCTCCGGGCCCAGGGGGCCATCAGCGGCGACTTCGATTGGTTGGGGTGCTTCCAGGAGCCCACGCCCAAGTTGCAAGGCACGTGGGGCAAGGCGCGCTCTGCGGCCACTAGAGCAAAACTCCTCCGGGAGCTCGGGGAGGTCTACCGCCTGGCACTCCGCGGCGCTGGCGGGACAGGAGCTGGCAGTTTCGTCCTGCCCAGCGAGGAAGGTGGCCCCAACGTGCCCGACAGGCACTTAATCACCTCTGTGAAGCTGCGCCTCCGGTGTGATGTCTGCCCGCAAGGCGCCGTGTGCCAGCACCGCCGCCAAGGCGGCGCAATCTGCGGCGCCCCGCTGGACCGGCGAGGGTGGCGCGCGAGATCCTGTGGAGCCGGTCAGTCCCGCACCGCCCGCGACGACCGCATGCGGGACTGGCATGCCAAGCTGCACGCCAGCCTCACAGGCTTCGCCGCGACCACAGAGCAGCTTGTCCCTGCGTGGGACCGCGTCAACCGGCGCACAGGCCTGCTGGAAGCAGCCAAGTTAGATGTCGCCGCGACAGATCCCAACACGGGCCAGCCCGTCTTCGTTGATTGGAGCATCACCTGCGAATGCTCTGAGTACGCCCCTCGCAGACAAGCGCGCTCCAACAACGACGGCGCCGCCGCAGCGGCCATGGTTCGGGAAAAGCGGGACAGATACCCCCGAGTGGGGGAGACCTCGCCCCGCTCGTCTTCGAGACATTGGGCCGCCCGTCAGACGAAGCCGCAGAGTTCACCCGGGCTTGCGGACAGAACTTCGGCGAGGCAGAGCGGGGCGAGGTGCCCGCCAGAGTGCGGCGGCAGCTGTCCCGCCACCTCCAGCGTGGCAATGCCGAGATGGTGCTCAGCGCCATCGGCCAGTAAGGCCGCGACAACAACCACCACCAGCACAACCGCTACTGCCAGCACCACGACGGCGACCCTAAGGACGGCAACCGCCACGACCACCAGCGCCACGACCACGACCAGCGCCAGCACGACGACCTCCGCGACCACCGCCAGCAATCACCACGACCACGACCGCACGACAGCGCCACGACCACGACCACTACCACCTCCGACCTGACTGCCAACGCCCCCGTCCGCCCCGCCCCTCCCCTCTCCTCTCCCCGCCCCTGCCGGGCCGCCCCTGCAGCCGCGCGGGCCTTGCGCCTCCCTCCCCCTGCCTCTCCGCCTCGCCTCCTCCTGCTGCTGCTGCTCCTTCTCCCGCAGGCAGAGCCGGCCCAGCCAGGGCCCGAAGACGGCTCGAGGCTCGACGGTTCCTTCGGCGGCGGACTCGGGCTCGCCTCACACGCCTGGCCCCGGTGGCCACTCGTCCCAAAGGTGGACGTGTGCCGGGGCGGGAGGGAGGGAGGGAGGGAGGGAGGGAGGGAGGGGGGAGGAGAGGGAGGAGGAGGAAGAGGAGAAGGAGGAGGAGGAGGAAGAGGAGGGGGAGGAGGAAGGCGGAGGAGGAGGAGGAAGAGGAGGAGTAGGCGGAGGAGGCGGAGGAGGCGGAGGAGGCGGATGAGGCGAAGGAGGAGGAGGAGGAGGAGGAAGAGGAGGAGGAGGAGGAGGAAAAGTAGGAGGAGGATCCTCAGGCTGCAGGCTGCGTACATATTGTGCATTTCTATGCAGCCTGCGGATAATTTCCCCTATGGCCATGGAACAGAACAGGAGGGTCTTCGCGAGGAGGAGGATCCTCGCGAGGGCCGCGCGGCCGCGGGGCCGCCGATGTCGCGGCCTGCGCCTGCGGGGCTCGGTCCTTCGGGCCGCCTTCACGGAAGGGCGTTCGTTGAAAGGAGCTCGTGCCCGCCCCTCTGGGGGTCGACTGCACGTCAGGGAGGCCGTTCTCCAGGGTGACCTGTGTGGTGCGGGCCCACTGGTGTCCCTCGATCGCCGAACCTTATGCGGCAGTAGCGTCTTGCGCGCTTGTGTTTGGTCCCGCCGCGGCCCCCAGAAAGCCGCGCACCAGAGGTCCCCATGCCGCCTTCACTGCAGGGCGTTCGGCGGAACGGGGGTTCTGCCCGCCCTCGGGAGTCGACTACACGTCAGAGAGGCCTTTAGGCCTCCCAGATGGGGTCCGAGCAGATGGGGTCGGAGGATCGCGCCGCATCGCCGATGCATCGACGATGCGGCTCGATGTGAATACCGTGTTTCCTCACGCCGACGTCGCCGATGCATATCCGATACATCGGCGATGCATTGGCGCTGCGGCGTGATCCTTCGACCCTATTATTCGGATTCCATCTAGGAGGCCTCTACCCGATCGCCGAACGCGATGCGGTATCAGCGTCTTGCGCGGTCGTGTTTGGCCCCCCGCGGCCCCAGAAAGCCGCGCACTAGAGGTCACTCATACCCAGGGTCACTCTTGCGTGTAGCCGGGGGAGGAGCTGAAGGTGAAGATAGTCCTGCAGCAGGAGGCCATGGCGAGCGTCGTGATGCAGCAGACGATCGTGGTGGACTTCCGCATCGAGAACCAGCAGTGCCCCGACTGCAAGAAGACCTTCACTCGCCACACGTGGGAGAGCTGCGTGCAGGTTCGGCAGCGCTCGGAGCAGCGCAGGACGCTGGAGCACCTGGAGCAGCTGATACTGCAGCACAAGGCGCACGAGCGGGTTATCGAGGCTCCCGGGGGACGCGCAAATCGACTGCGCCCGCGCGGCATGCCCAGCATTCCAGGTCTCGCAGATGGGGTCAAAGCAGATGGGGTCGGAGGTTCGCGCCGCATCGCCGATGCATCGGCGATGCGGCTCGATGTTGAGCCCGATTTTCTCCGCGCCGACGTCGCCACCGCATCGCCGATGCATCCTCGATGCATCGCCGATGCATCCAGCGATGCGGCGCGTCTTTCCGACCCCATTTACTTGGATCCCATCTAGGAGGCCTCTAAGAATAGCCGTCCGCGTGGTTCGGGAGTGCCCCTCTGGGAAGTCTCAGTGTGGCCCTAAGACGGCCCCGCGAAGGAGGGAGGAGGAGGAGGAGGAGGAGGAGGAGGAGGAGGAGGAGGAGGAGGAGGAGGAGGAGGGAGGAGAGAGGAGAGGAGGAGGAGGAGGAGGAGGAGGAGGAGGAGGAGGAGGAGGAAGAGGAGGATGAGGAGGAGGAGGAGGAGGAGAGGAGGAGAGGGGAGGAGGAGGAGGAGGAGGACGAGGACGAGGAGGAGGAGGAGGAGGAGGAGGAGGAGGAGGAGGAGGAGGAGGAAATGAGGGACGGAGCGATGAGGGTACGGAACTTGCAGGATGCTTGCTCGGGTCCGGTCGGGACCGGCGCCGTCCGAGCACGGGAGGTCAAGCGCAGCAAGGACGGCATCGACCTGCACTTCTCGCGCGATAAGCACGCCCAGGAGTTCCTGGCCTTCGTGAAGAGCTGGGCGGTCACGCGCCACCACGACTCGAAGCACCTGGTGAGCCACAACCAGAACAACAACAGCTACCGCTTCAAGCGCACGACGTGCGTCGAGCTGTGCCCCGTGAGCCGCGACGACCTCGTCATGCTGCCCCCCAAGAGCGGCTGCACGTCGGAGTGGCCCCTCGCCAGAGTGTCCGCGGGTGCTCGGCTCGCCAGATCCGAGCACGCAGGCTGCTGCTGCTGCACCGCGCACGACGATCTGCAGGCCGCGCACCAAAGTCGGCGGCGAGCCCAGGGGGGAAGGCGGAGGGGGCGGACCCTCTCAGAAGGCCCGGAAGGCCCCCCTGGCCTTCCGAGAAGTCTCCAGAGCCTCCTCCGAAGGACTCTGAAGGCCGAGGCGGCTCCCCACAGAAGGCCCGAGGGCTTCCGGGGAGCCCCGCCGCCTTCCGAGGAGGCCCTGCCCCTCTCACCTCCCCCCCTCCTCCCCCCTGAGCAAGAGTTGTATTCACAGCCACTGCATCTTGGAGTGTCGGGCCACCTTCCCCAGACACCCGAGGCGCAGTGGCTGCTGAGAACAATCAGGCCCCCTGCAGAGGATATATTTCTATTCCCCACATCCACTGCGCCTCGGCCTTCGGCGCCCCCTTCCAGAAATTCCAAGACGCAGCGGATGTGGATACACAGTGGGCGGCTTGGATAAGGAACGCATACTTTTCAGAAGGGGCTCGGCCCTTCCCTGGGCTTGCATGCGTTATGTATCGTTCCTCTATGCGTTGTTTAGCATTTGTCGTTCCTTGTGCGCTACTCCTTGGAAAGACAGGGCTTCGCTCCTCATTTATCTTTCCTTAGGTCAGGCCGATGACGGTACGCCTTGCGCGCACCCCCGGCTCGCCGCCAGCAGAGGCCACTCTTGCCTCGGGCCGCTCCCGCGCGTGGCCGGCAAGACGGCCCGGGCGCTGGGCGGCCTGCCGCCTTTCATGCTGTGCGTCCGGGCGAGCGCCGCCGTGGTCCTCGTGGACCCAGCCAGCTGCAGGACTCGAATAATAATAAGAAGAATCGTAGTAAGAGTAATAATGACAATAATTACCCCAGTGCGACCCTACCTAGAAGTTGGAGCCCCTAGGATAGCAGCATTAGTTACTATGCTATGCTATGCTATGCCATGCCATGCCATGCTATGCTGCGCTATGCTATGCCATGCTATGCTATGCCGTGCTATGCTGTGCTATGCTAAGCTATGCTAAGCTATGCTATGCCATGCTGCGCTGTGCTATGCTAAGCTATGCTATGCTATGCCATGCTAAGCTGCGCTATGCTATGCTATGCTATGCTATGTTATGCTATGCTATTCTGCGCTATGCTATGCTATGCTGGGCAATGCTATGATATGCTGTGCTTCGCTGTGCTGTGCTACGCTCTGCTATGCTATGCTTTGCTCTGCTATGCTAAGGCTCAGCGAAGCTAAGATGAAGGTAAACTAAGCTAAGCTAAACCTGAGCTAAGATGAAGCTAAGCTAAGCTAAGATGAAATACGCTATGCTAAGATGAGATAAGCAACGCTAAGTTAAGGGAACGTCACTGGGGGATCCGCGGAGCGGATGCCGGGGAACCGCCCGGGGCGGGTTACACTGCCCGGCCCTTTAAGCACACCGAGTAAGAAACCTTCTAGGCAGAGCCTATGTAGGGAATAAATAATAATAATAATATTAAGAAGAAGCGGCATGAACATAAACTCTGGCGCTCCGCGCGGATCCCTTGGATCCGCGCTGGGCCCGAGCCCCCCCCCCAGCGGCGCGCGCCAGGGAGGGGGGTCCAGCGCGGATCCAAGAAATCCGCGCGGAGCGCCAAAAGTTGATGTTCATGCCGTGCTTCCTTCCTCTAAGGACGGTGGAGGTCTCCGCCGTCGAGTACTGGAAGCGGCCGTTCGCCGCCGTCTGCTCCGTCAAGCTCGGCGGCGCGCCCCGGGGGGGGGGGGCCCTCGGACTCCTCGGAGCCGGGCGCCGCGATGTCTGCAGCACCGGGCGTCTTCGGCGGTCTGCGGGCCCCGTGGCCATCACACAAGGTCTTTCTCCTGGACTCAACGCGTGTGCAGTGAATGCGTGCTGCTAGCACGGCCCCTTACGGGGCCTCTGAGGCTCGAAACGGCTGCAGAGTTTGGGAAGCCTTGCTGCAAACCCGTCCTTCGCCTGTGCTACACTGTATATGCAGCTACGTGCGCAACTGCCTCAGAGAGAAGGGGTCTCGGGCTCCTGGTCGACTTTTGAGGGTGGTTCATTTTCTCGCGACGTCGGATCCAGGGAAAGGCAGCGGGGGCGGGCCTCCTCGGAAGGCCTCTGGTCGTCGGGCAGCTTGCCGAACCCTCTCCGAAGCCAGAAGCGAGCCCCGCCGGCCCTGGCCTCCCGCCCGCGCGTCAGCTCGCCTTCCTTTGAGTCGCCCCGCGAAGCGAAGGAAGGTGCCTGGCTCTCCCCTCCTCGTCCCCTTCCGCCGGGCAGCACAGCCTGCCCGGGGCCAGCGTGGCGGCGTGCAGGGCCTCGGCCGACGGCAGGCTCAGTGTCCGCAGAGAGCTCCTCCGAAGGCCCGGGGGGAGCGGCCGAGGAGCCCCGCCTCCGCCTGAGAAGGCATGCCCCTTTTGGGGCGCCTGGCAGTTCTCGTGTCATATCTTCTAGGCCTCTCAGATCCCTCCTCCTCCTCCTCCTGCTCCTCCTCCTCCTCCTGCTCCTCCTCCTCCTCCTCCTCCTCCTCCTCCTCCTCCTCCTCCTCCTCCTCTCTCTCTCTCTCTCTCTCTCTGGGGTCCGAGCAGATGTGGTCGGAGGTTCGCGCCGCATCGCCGATGCATCGGCGATGCGGCTCGACGTTGAGCCCGATTTTCTCCGCGCCGACGTCGCCGATGCATCGCCGACGTCGACGATACATGGCCAGTGCATCGCCAATGCATTGCCGATGCATCGCCGGTGCATCGCCGATGCATCAGCGATGCGGCGCGATCCTCCGACTCCATCTTCTCCGACCCCACCGTGAGTCATAACTTAGCTTTCCCGTGGCCGTTCGGGGCGATCTGGGCACCCCCGGAACGCTCTCGGCGAGGCGCAGCCAGTGGAACGCATCCCGAGGCTGGCAAACCGCTGGGATCCGACGGACACGCCCGAAAACCAAGAGCATCCACGACCCTCCCACTTCCACCCCGGGGCGCGCCGCCGACGAGCACCTGATCGAGTTTGTGGTGCTCGACGTGGTGGAGGATCGGAGGGGCTTGATGCATACATCACGCCGTTTGGTCGACCAGGGAGCCGAGGAGGCTCGGCGAAGGAATTCGGTGCATAGACGCTCCAGCGTCCCACGGGTTGGGCAGCTGGGGCGTCTGCACACGAAGCTCCTTGGTCGACCAAGCGGCATGGTTCATGCACGGAGCCCCTCCCCGAGGAGGAGGACGGGCCCCCGGACGGACACGCTGGCCCCGGCCGCGTCGCCGTGCCCTGCGAGGTGGAGGTAGCTCGCTCGTCCGACTTCGGCCGGAACGATGAGCGGCTCCTGGTCCGCTCGCACCTGGGGGGCAGGTTCCGAGGCAGGGACTTACCCAGAGAGCCAACGTACTGACAGCAGTCAAGGCGGAGTTTCGGTCGCCGTTTTCGGATTCGTTGGAGGCCAGGCCCCAGGACCGTCAACGAAACGGCTCGGGACGAAACGCTGGCCCTCGGGACAAAACGACTCGAGACGTCCGGGGACCCCGCATTGCAAAAATCAAGACCTCGGGTCTCCGGGTACCCACAACTCGGAGAAGACAAAACGGCAGAAATAGAAAGTTTTGGCGCCCCGCGCGGAGCGCTAAAAGTTTGTGTCTATGCTGATCTTCCTTCTTCTAATGACCACCGTGCGGGGGAGTCGCTCTTCGGGACCTCGGCAGGCGGTGGCCGTGGATACGTTCGGGCCCTGGAGGGGCTGCTCGTGTCCACGCCCGCCGCCTGCCGAGGTCCACGGCGATCGATCCCCCGGGCGGCGGCCCATGGGCAGCTCCCCTGCCTCGCGCAGGCTTCGCCCGGGGGACGTCGCCCTGGGCTTCGACCTGAGGACGCTGAACACCGGCGTCGACGACGAGGATCGGCGGCGCGCCCAATCGATGGGGGTCGGCGCGGCCGGGGCGGCCTCCCTGGTCGACTGCGGGACCCAGACGCATACAGTGCCACCACCCTCCTCACCACCTCCCTCTCCCAGGGGGGAGGGGGGGGGGGAGGGGAAGAGCAGGGTGGAGGAGGGAGGGGGAAATGGTGGTGGTGGTGGTGGTGGTGGTGGTGGTGGAATTCTACTCCTTGGGACCAGCAGAGAAGGCATGGGGGGCGGTCTCTTCGAGGGCCCCCGGGGTGGCCAATTCATCTGTTGCTGCGATGTGCCACACGTCAGATATGGAACCTTATCACAACTTACCAAGCCACCCCCACCCAGTCCAAGAGACCCAGACCGCTCCGAATTTCGGGTTGGGGCGTGTACGGGTTCCAGGGTGTGTTTCGTCCATGTTCTGGAGTTCCCCCCCCAGAACTCGACGAGCCCATCGGTGACTTGCGGTTCAGCACATTTTTTTGTCAATCGCTTTACGCCTACAGGGTGCGCTTTGCGGGTCGCAGTCGCAGTCGCAGTTTGGGCTTCCCGAGCAGGCCGCTCGGAAGCCTTCGAGGCCCTCCTGAGAAGGCACCCGCCCAAGAACCCCTCCTTTGCCAGCTTGGAGCATATCCCTACCCCTACGACTGGCATCACTTTGTCTCGGTGCCGACCTCAGTGATTCCCTGAGTTTCTGAGGGCACATCTCTGAGATCCTAGATCTCTGACTATATTTTTTCCGCCGGTTTTCCTTCGAGTCCAGCCCTCGGGGGTCATTTGTGGGATTTGGGACCACCAGAAGGGGATCCGGGGCGAAAAGCTACGCCAAGAGGGACCTTCTTGGGACACCTGGTTGAGATGCTCCGCGTTGGTTGACCTCCCCCTCTTCGCCAGCGGGCTGCTGCCCCAGCTCCCGCGCCGCCCCCCCCTTCGGCGCGCGCCGCCGACGATCGGCATCGTTCCGCCGATCCCCCTCCCCATCCCCATCGCTATCCCGATCCCCGCCATCCCACCAACGGCCAGTGGGGACTCCACCATCCCGCCACCCCACCATCCCGCCATCCCACCATTCACAATCCCACCATCCCACCATCCCCATCCCACCATCCCACCATCCCAGCATCCCACGATCATCCCACCATCCCGCCATCCCACTATCCCGATCCCCACTCTCCAGCACCACCCTCGTTGGGAAGACCGCCCCATCGACGCCCGAAGGCGACAGCCTGCATCCCCACACAGGGGGGGGCACATCGGACAGCGTAGTGCCCAGGCCGCGCCCCTCCTCCTCCTCCTTCTCCTCGCTCCTCCTCCTCCTCCTCCTCCTCCTCCTCCTCCTCCC